AAGGCTAGCAATATTCTATGGCAGATGAATAACTACCAAAATTGGTGTTGTTAAGCTAAGCTGAGAGACAAAAACATCACCCCCACTGCATCACCCACTCGCCAGTTGCCACTTAATATAACAAAGAATTGATACCATTTTCCATATCAGAAGTTCTTCAGTATTTTATCTGTTGAAACGCCCGCCGCTACAAGAATTGAGGTTACCTCCTGCATACATACAGCTCCATAAATTAACATTCGCAGTAAGCTACTCGTCCGAGCACAGGAATAACAAATTCCAACACCATCTAAGAAGAATATCAGAACCTTTCCTAGCATTTCCAAAAACGTTCAACAGCTCCCCTACTTTCAGCAAAAAAAAAAAAAAAAAGATATTCAACAACGTTCCTAATTCATCCCCACACATCTTTCATCAATATACTTAACCAGTTTGCACCAAACACTAGCGCACATCACATATTCTGTTCCCTAACTTGCACTAGACTGATTAACAAGGTTCATGTACAACAGCCTACGCAGCAAGAAGGAAGGCCCTAGTACTAAGAAGCCAAAACTTTTAGATTCAACCTCAGAGTCTCATGTCCAGCAAAGTTGTCAAGTTCAGGCCATAGTGGATGGAAAAAAATGAATGGCTGAATAGAGGAACAAAGTGTGGGTATGAAAGTTTCCAAGTTTTATCCACACAAAAACGGAAGAAGGGCCACATGACACTATGACAGGTTCCGGTCAATATCAAAACAACGAAAAGGCACTTCCAGTGATTTCTGAAGGACAAAGCCAAACAAGGTTGCCAACTACAGTGACTCAATTCTTGGTACAGGGAGGTGAGGCATCCAAAGTTAAGAGCATGGAAAGTGAACCACAACTCCAATATCTCCCAGTTCACAAGCACTGACTGGAAGCAAGATTACATACTGGACTGATTTCTAACATTTGTTTCTCCCACCCTTTTATGCCTAATTACAAAGTTGTCTCAAGTATCCTATTGATTCTCTAGTTATCTCGCGTTGAGTGAGAAAACAGCAGTGAGAAACCATACAGTGTGAAATTGTTGACGGAAATCAGCATCAAGTTCAATTAAGAAATATTCACATCACAAAGTCTTTGGAGGCAGCAAACGGACAATGAAGAATCAACCATGCTGCAGCCAAGATTGAAGTAAATCCTAATATTTTGCCTCTCATAAGCGAATCCAGCAAATGCTTTTTTCTTATTGAGGGGAATCCACAGTTTTCACTGGCAACTATTGAAGCTGGATATAACTTCTTCCCTAATGATTTAAACATTTTGACTTTGCCTCCGCATTCCGCAGATGTTACAATTCAAGGCTACCTAATCAACTGCATGCTAAATACCCTCCATCATAAATCTATAGCATTATCTTTTGACTTGCATCAAGTTCCATAACTACCTAGGTCAATTTCAAACCGTAGGGCACGTACAACATCTAAAACCCATAAATAGAGAGAAAACATATATGCAACGAACCTCTGCCATCTGCTTCTGGCCACAAAGCACAGCACCAGTACCTGCTGGGCTTGATATCTGAGTGGCCCTCGCAAAAGCAGCCTGCATAGTAATCGAGTAGAAAGGCATTTACTAGATCCATCATCCATACCATATCAGCAGACAACCAATCCCGGAAAACGGACTAGAGCACATACAACTAACCTGTACATAGCCAGCTTCACCACTCCAACTATTATCTGGTTGTGATAGCACAGGCACAATTGTAACCCCGGACGACTCCCAATCTTTGAACCTATCCTATTAACAAAAACCAGAGGCAACCAAATTCAACATTCGCACAAAAATGGCAACGAGTACATGCCAACGGATAATCGATGGGAGGAAGCAAACCTGGTAAGCCATTCTCTTCAGGTTTCTGGCTCCGTAATAAAGCCTCACGTCCGATCTCTGTTTAGCACAAAACCCTGACTCAATGAGAGATCGAATTGGACTGCACCACACAAATATGCAATCATTAGGAGGGCACCCGAATCTCCCATTTGAAAACCCAATGAAAGTTGCTTACCTGATTCCAGAGCCGGTGGCGAAAATCAAAACGGTAGGGTACTTCTCAGGCGGCTCGATTTGATCGATCCCGAAGCCTTTCCCCATTACATGGCTCAATTCCACGACATTTCCTCTCTTCAAGGCGCATAAGAGCTCGGCCGTGGAGCCAGCGATGCTCTTCACCAGAAACTCAAACGCGCCTCTAGATGCAGCAAACGAAGGAGGTGAAGCGATGGCCAGAAAAGAAGGTTTGTCCACCTCAGGGATTCGGAGCTGCAGGTACTGTCCTGGCAGCGTGTGGGATGCGGCGAGGTCAGGGTGGTCGGAGACGTCGATGCTGACGTGGAAGAGAGACTCGGCGACGGGCTCGATTTCGGAGAGCGGGGCTTGGGTCCAAGCAACAGTATCCTGGCGGGCAACGGCGGCGGCAGCGAAGGAGGAGAGATGTCTTCGATGGAGGAGGTGAGAGGAGGTTAGATGGCGGGGGCCGAGACGGCGTAGGATAGACATGGGGAAGCTAAGCTGCGCATGGGTGGCAGCGGGAGATGGAACTGGAAGAGGAAGTAGAAGGTTTGCGGACATAATTAGGCTTTGATTTGGTAAATATTTAGGGCAGGAGGGAGGTGGTGGCGAACAAGACATAAAGGACGGCGGCGCGCAAATGGTGGCGGTGGCGGTGCGGTGAAGAGGCGGGGAAAAGTTAATACGCTAATTTGAAGATTCGTTAATAGATACTAACTGATATTCAAAATACATGAATTAGTATCCAAGTAATAAAGTATCTAGAGAGCACATACTAGTATTCAAAGTTTGGGATGAGATAGCATGCCTACCCATAAAAGGGTTGGCAAAATGAGAACCCCTATTAATTATAGGTTTTTAAGGTAATTAATTTGTGTTGCATTTAATAATCTGTATGAATTAAAAACACATATTAATTACTTTCCTTTTTCAGTGCACTGATAGTTGTATCAGTGCACTGTTATACTGAACTCATATCAATTACGTTCCTTTTTTGGAACTACCATTGCAGTGATACATCTACCATTGCACCTGTACACAACTGAATTCATATTAATTACGTTCCTTTTTTGGAACTACCATTGCAGTGATACATCTATCATTGCACCTGTACACAACTACCAGTGCACTGATACAACTACCAGTACACTGAAAAAAGGAAAGTAATTAATATGTGTTTTTAATTCATACAGATTATTAAATGCAACACAAATTAATTACCTTAAAAACCTATAATTAATAGGAGTTCTCATTTTGCCAACCCATACAAGGGTTAGCATGCTAACCGATCCCTCAAAGTTTGCTAACTGTTATCCACCATTAATCAACTATTATCCCAAATTCACAAAATAATATCTAGACAACACATAATAGTATCCATACAGCACATAGTTAGTATACAGATAACACATAAGAGTATATGTATTGAATACTAGTTGGTTGATTGTGGATATTAGTTGTATCATACTAGTTTGTGATGTTTTGAATACTAGTCTGTGCTATCTAGATACTCAGCAGACTTGAATATTAGTTCATACATTTTGGATATTAATTAGTATATACTAACGAATTTTCAAGTTAGCAGAATAACTAGGCTGGAAGAGGCGGGCCAAAGTCCCTTAATCACAACTCACATGAGTAAGCCAATGTCAACTATTGAACCTCGTTAAAATCTAATGGCTCAGATTTATCTAGTTTAATAAAGGATAAGATTGTAATTACATAATTTATTTATTTATCAATTAAAATAAAAAATAATAATAGTGTACCGTCCCCGTCCTCTCACCGCCGGTTCGTTTCTGAGAATTCTCCCACACGGCTGTGGGATTTTTTTTGTCCCAATCCAAGTGATTTTATCACTTGTGGCCCGCAGAGAGAGAGTTTTGGTCAACTTTCCGACGGCGGTGGAGGAGGTTTTTCGGCGACCAGAGACGGTGAAGGAGGATTTTTCTATTTGTATTATAAGCAGTAGTATTTTATACGGTTAGTATGTTTTGTACTATTTGCTTGTTTCTTTTGTAATGTTTGTAAGTTTTGTTATTTTGTAATGTATGTCGGTTACTTTTATAATGTTTGTAAGCTTTGTTATTTGTGTGCACCATATTTGTAATTTTTGTCAACCATGTTTGTAATGTTTTTTATGTCTAAAAAATAACCTGGTTGACTTTTGAATGGAACTTCTCTATATAGAGATGAAACCTCCAAAGTCAACTCGGGTGTTTTTCCATTTTGTATGGTTTGTCGGTCTAGTTTGTAATGTTTGTCCACCATGTTTGTATGTCTAAAAACAACTGGATTGACTTTGGGACGGAGCCCCTCTATATAGGGATGAAGCCTCCAAAGTCAACCCGCTTGTTTTTCCATTTTATATGGTTTGTATTGTTTGTCGGTCTAGTTGTATTGTTTGTATAGTTCGTATGTTTCGTATTGATTGTAAATCTGCTTGTATGTTTTGTTGCTCTAGTTTGTATTGTTCGTATGTTTTTATGGTTTGAACTTATAGTAAGTCTAGTTTGTATACTTCGTAATTTTCCATAATACCCAAACTACCCCTGTCATTAATTAAATAACCCTTCCCACTTTTTAACCGTCAGATTGTTGTCTCCATATCTAAGGGTTGGAAGGGGCTTAGTCAAGTGACTATGCACCCTCCCCCCTTAGTCATAGGATCCTTCCTCGTGAAGAGACGGCGCTTGGGAAATGATGAAATGCCGGCGAGGAATGCTAAGAAAAGGTGTGCTCTAGTTAAGCTCGGATCACACCTACGATCTATGGTTCAAATCCACCATTAATATATTGCACGCTTTTTGCAACTTTTCAGGGATTCAAATTTCTTGCTCTCTCCTTCATTTTCGATGGGGGTAATTTAGTAATTGGACCATCTCTCTTTCCCAGCTGGCCAAACTTACGTGTTTCCCATTTATCTCTCTTCAGTTTCGTATTCGATTGAAGAGAGAACTCAGCAGTTTCCTTTCCCTGTCCCAACCTTCGAGAAGAAGACCTCGATCTGTAAACGGTTCGGAGAACAAGACCGCGATTTGGTGGGCGGTTGTTACCCTACAGCGGACTGCATTTGGGATTCACGAGTTCTTCCCCGCAGCTGTTCCCTCTTATTATTTCTTCTTCTCCTATTTGGAACCAGATCGTCAATCCCCATTTCAATTCTCCCTCCCGCAACAATGCCGAACACGGCAGAACCCTTTTAAGCTAATGACGAAAACTTTTTATCCAGGTAATCTTCTTCCCATTATTGTATATGTATTCTCATCCAATTGAATTTAGAACCTCAATTTCATATTTGGCTAATAATCGTGTATGGGGGCTTTGGTTGTGTACAAATTCCAGTTTGTTTTTTGTCGATGGTTCTTCGAGTTCAGGTATACCCCTGTGTCTTTGTGGTCTGTCGGGCTTAGGGTTCCCCATTCTCATGAACAGGTTGGATTTGGGGTTGCAAATGGCTCGGGTCTATGCGATTAGGGTTTGTATCGGCTGCTTCCCTTGCAATCCTAGGAGGCTGCATTGCAAAGTCCAATCCGTAAGCTATGTTGCAAAGTTGACTTCAATAGAATAGCTTCACCATTTGAGACCTTTACTCTAACCCTCACTTTCGTTGCTTTCTAATATTGGATGTCAGAGTTTATAGATAATTTGGTTTGGTTGTCTGTGCATGGTTTGCTGCTTCTTATCGTGAATTCAGATGCGCACATCATTGTGGGATTACGTATTTATGATACTCTGCTTCTTACATTACATATGTGAGCTACTTTTGACAAAGGGATGCCTCTTTTTCCAGTAACAGTATAGGATTTGAATTACGATCATCCTGGTATGTTAAGTAGGCAATGTTGGTGTTTTTGGTGGCCCTCATTTCTCTCATAGTCTTTATACAAGTTCGATGCCACTTAGGATGACCATTTCATGCTACTATTTATAACTCCATCATGCAATGCGCCAATCTTTTTGCCTCATTTTTAGAAAGAATGGTTCCACTATCTTGCGGAATGTGAGTAGCGAATCGCACCTAATCTGGCCATACCATTACCCCTTGTATGCATAAGGGAAACCATGAATGTCCGTTGAGTTGTTTCAAATTTATTCCATGCTTTACCGACTCTGATAATAAGTTGGGATGTGATGTGTTGCAGGCCTAATACAAAGCTAGACATATTGCACTATAAACCACGTTGTTTTGTTGCTGCGGAGTAAGGTATATGGTAATTTCACAGCTGCTTGGTTATTATTGACTTTGATAATTGAGTTGGTAGGTTATCACTTCTCTGTGTATGCATCTTTCAGTTAAACATGTCATGTTTTTGTCGTCGATCCTGATGTTGGCAAGAAACATATTATCCCTTTGAAATCAATTATCAGTTTGGTAGTGTCACAAAAAAAATATATCTCCTGATGACGTTAGGTAGTAGCTTGCTTAGTTAGTTGAGGGGTAAGACACTTTCTATATCGAGTTGGTATGTCTATTAGTTAAAGTGTATTCTTATTTTGTGTTCATCATATGAGTTTTGCTTAATTGACCAAGTGCATACTGAAAATGCCATTGCATAGCTTGGTTATGGCTAGCATACTTTTTCCCTTTCGACTTTGGAAGTCTAATTTGCCTTATTCGATGTGTTTTCTAGGATTATCATGCCAATATATTATTATCTTAATATTGTTTTTCCATTTCAGCAAGCGTTCATTCAAGTTTGGTTGCATTTGACCGTCGTCTGCCCAAATTCCGATTCCTCTACTGAAGCTGTACTTTTTGCAACCGAAGCTCAACATGGATACTCCTTCCCAAACCATTTCAATCTGTCGGGGTTCTTACAAAGTACAACGGAATTGTGTTAGTAGTTGTTGAAATTTGTATTCGAGCATATATAAGTGTTATTACGCTTTTCCTCTGCTGTATATCACAAGGGCATTTAATTTCTAGAATTTGGGCACAACCCTATATAAGTTTACCTTTGATGTTAAGCGTTTGCCAAGTTCCCATATAGATTGTTTATATCACATAAAATTTACAAATGAGCATTCTTAACTTTGTTCTACTTCTAAAATTTCATGCAAAATATGAAGATTAGGATTTATTTGTATCACCTTTCACTCATCACTTCCAATATGGTCGTCTGCCTCAGTTTGTGTTTCATTGTCAATTAGAGTTGAATGTTGTTCCCTATATGTTGTTTGCGATGATGCATACCCCCTCACTTTATGTCTAATTCTCCCACATTCTAATGCTTCTTAGGATTTGGTGTAGCTTCTCATACTTCTTAAATCATCACACAACTGAACACGCCATTTCCATCTGTTGTGTATCATGGTGAATACGAAATATGGATACATGTGAAAGTGAAGAGGGGGACTCATCACTTTCCCAATTCGATGTAAGTAACATGAGATCCAGTGTGCCCTGTGAGTTTGAATACCGAACTTCGGCATTTTTATTCAAACAAAAGTTGCTTATAAATATTAACTAAAATACAACTTGGGGTCGTTGAATTGTTTGTTGTCATGATCTAGGGAAACGTCGTGCTATTTTATTCCAATCTACTCATGTAACTAATGCTCCTGCGTCGGTTCAAAAGGATGTTGAGGTCTTAGACAGAGGTAATGTACAACATGATATAATGTACTATTATTTTTGTATGATCAACCTTCAAACAGAGTTATTGTATAAGGGGAAGCATTCTGCCTAGTGTTGATGGTTTTCTCGATGGATTGCTTTTCTGAGTTAATACATTCGAAATTATTGACTATATGATCGATATTTTGGCAGAACTACAAACTTTGAAGACTGAACTATCTAGAATTACTGTTGAATTGCCTAAACTTGCACGACAGAGATGACGTGTCTCATCGCCAATAAGGAACATCATTGTAGACCACAAAATGGTATATGGTGTACCCATTTGTTTCTTTGTTTAAATAAGTTTGGATTATGTCTTTCCAACCAATTTAACTTGGAAGGCATTTATGTAATGTTAATTTAAATTTGGTTTTTGCTTATTTCAGTTCAACCATTGGAGGGTAAATTTTCATCACTTAGTGTTGCCCGTAATAGATTAGCACGTAGGATTTACTTACATCAAAAACGAAAAGGGCAGGAGACATTTCGGAAGCAAAACCAATCGTGTAAGGAGTATAATGGCTCATCTACCCAACAAATAGTTGTGTCTCAGTATGGGTAGGCTTTGAAGTTTGCCTTTACTCATTAGAATGTGTCTATTGTGATGGACCTCTTACTAATTACACTTTTCTGTATTTTTTCTTTATATGTAGTTTGTCCCGATGTTGATGTTTTTTCCGTCGGAGAGCCATGTTACGTTTGTCCATTTTGTCGTGCTAAGCTATGGTCGTTGGAAAGTGTTGCGACGTCGTGAAAGTTTGAAACTCCCATTTTCTCACTTTGTTGTAAACAAGGCAAGGTCAGACTACCACCTCGACGAGACCCACCAGAATTCTTGAAAGAGCTATTTGAAGGACAAACGCCAATTGCCCATCATTTTCGTGAGTTCATCCATGGATACAACGGTGTCTTTACTTTTATATCTCTTGGTGGTAAGGTGGATAAATCGATAAATCATGGTCGTGGTGTGTTTGTCTACTCAATTGGTGGTCAAATCTACCATCGTATCGAAAGTTTGGTGTCGGCTGAAGGTATGCCACCAAAGTTCGCTCAGTTTTATATTCATGACACAACGGATGAGGTAAAAAATCGACTTGATTTCTACAAGCTCGATAGAGAAGTCAATCCTCTACGTGAACACATTGTTCAGAGACTGCAAGACATGTTCGATGAGCATAATGTTTTAGTTAAGACATTTCGTACTGCAAGAGATAAGATACATGAAGAGGATATTGAACATGTTCAGATCAAGTTGATTGGTACTCGATCTAGTGGGGGAAGAGAGTATGATTTACCTTCAGCTAATGAAATTGCTGCACTAATTGTTGATGAAGTAGGAGAAGAAACATTTGGGTCCGATATTGTTGTTCAACAACATAGTTTGGATATGCAGCAAATCAACTTTCACCATCCCAGTTTGATGGCTTTGCAATACCCTATTTTGTTTCCTTATGGGGAGGATGGGTGGCATTCAAATCTTATATATCATCATCCATATGAAACAAACGGTGAAGGAGACCGCACAGTTTCTCAGTGTGATTATTATAGCTATCGACTCTAGAGATGTGTTGGTGAGTCCAATTCGTTACTATTTGGAGGAAAATTATTTCAACAATATGTCATGAATGCATATGCTCTGATGGAAGCTAAAAGACTAGATTGGATTCGCAACAATCAATCAAAACTACGAGCTCATTCTTTCCAAGGATTGATGGATTCATTTATGAGAGGTGATACTGAGCTTAAATTGAGTGGAAAACATATCATCATGTCTGCATCGCATACTGGTAGTCCACGACATAAATATGAAAATTTTTAAGATGCAATGGCGATTTTTCGATTCATAGGCTATCTAGATTTGTTTATCACATTCACATGTAACGCGAATTGGCCAGAGATTCGGTTCATGCTTGACTTGCTACAAGAAGAAGGCCGAAAAGACTCTAATTGCGCTGATGTTTTCGCTAAAGTATTCAAGATGAAATTGAATCAATTAATAGTTGAAATTAGGGACAAGAAAATCTTTGGAAGCACGTGTGGATGTAAGTTACTATACTATTTTATTTTCAAATTTCAAATATGTTATTAGTTCACCCTTGGTCATTAACTCTTTAATATTTTCATTGCAGAGGTTGTTGCGATCGAGTTTCAGAAATGAGGTCTCCCTCATTCTCACCTTTTGGTATTTTTGGATCCTGAAGATAAACCAAATGGGATTTCAGATATTGATTCCATAATCTCAGCGGAGATTCCTTATCCAGATTTAGATCCTGGTTGCTACCAAGCCGTAACAAGTTTTATGTTACATGGTCCATGTGGTCCAGTTGCACCAAAGTCACCTTGCATGAAAGATGGAAAGTGTTCTAAGAAGTTTCCAAAACAATATTGTAGTCAACAATAGATGAGAATGGTTTTGCACAGTATCGTCGCCGACAAAATGACAGGATTGTAATACAAAAAGGTGTTGCGTTGGATAATCGATTTGTTGTACCATGCAATCGATATCTATTGTTGAGATTCCAAGCACATATCAACGTAGAATTTTGCAACAAAACAAGGTATGAAATTAATTTATTCTTTTGAGGCAAAATATAACAGATTTTGACATGTTGAACAGAATTATTATTTCATTCCATTTAATTATTGTTAAGAAATTCCATTCCATGACCAAAATCGATTGTTCTATCTTGCATAATTGTTATGAATAGAACATTATAGCGTTTCATATCTTATCTCTAGCTTATGTATGCACTAATTTGCCCTTGAACTGTTGCTTCTACTTCGTCCAGTTACATCTGCAGGCAAGAGTTTTAATTCCATGGATTTTGTCCTGTTACAAAAACCCGTAAAAAACTCATGCTAACCAGTACTTCTTTTTGACTTTTTTGGCATTATTTGGATTGAACCACTTGCCTAATATATTTCACAATTTTGTTTGTCCTTCATGGTTCTAAGCTGTCTGAAGTTTGCCTAAGCCTGGACATGTGAATCGTGTTGTTTGTGACCATTTTTGTTCACCTAGTTTCCTCATCTGTGTATAATTAATTTTATTAAATTTTGCAGGGCCATCAATTACTTGTTCAAATATATCAACAAACCGAGGATCGAGCAATTGGAACATTAACTGTAGCGCAGAATGGTGTATCCAATGAATCTAGCAGTAGTGATTCTAGAGAAGTTGTTCGTATTGATGAGATCAAAGCTTTCGTGGATTGTCGATATATAACTCCTGGTGAAGAGTGTTGGAGACTCTTCAAATTTGATTTGTACAATCATTCTCCCTCAATTATGAGACTATCCTGTCATTTGCCAGGAGATAACAAAGCCTATACCACCCAACAATCCAATATTCGTAACATCGTTCTATATGATACAACCACTCTACTTTTGGGATGGATGCAAACGAATCGTGACTCTCCCTCTGCACGGAAATACACGTTTGTTGAAGTCCCACAGTATTTCACGTGGAATAGAAAGCTAAAAAAATGGCGAGAAAGGAAGCAAAAACTTTGTATAGGGAGATTGTATTATACCTATCCATCTGCAAAAGAAAGGTACTATCTTAGGATGTTACTACATATTATGAGAGGTTGGCAAAGCTTTGAAGAGATAAGAACGGTAAATGGGGTTTTGCATGATACATTTTAGAATGCTTGCTATGCTCTTCGATTGTTGGCAGAGGATACTGAATGGAATGATTGCTTGAAGGAAGTATCATTGTGGGGTTCTGGATATAAAATGAGGAATCTTTTTATCACCATTTTGATTCACAATCAAGTGTCAAATGTTGAGGCAATATGGAATAATAATTGGGAGCGATTGAGTGATGATCTTTTATTCCACCAACAAAGATTGTTGAATTTACCTGATCTCCAGTTATCTTCAGAACAACTGAAAGAATTGTGTTTGATTGAGATAGAGAAGATATTGCAAATGAATTGGAAGTCTCTATCTGATTTTCCTGGTTTGTCAATTCCTAGCCAAGGTAGTTCCTCTCAATATTCCAATCGAATGATGGCTACTGAATTGAATTATGTTTTAGCGGATTTAGAAGTAGCATGGGAAGCACAATATCTAAAGCTAAATACAGATCAAAAGGAAGCTTTCGATGCAATCTTACAATCTGTTGAAGAAGATAGCGGCAAGTGTTTTTTTGTTGATGGCTTCAGAGGGACAGGCAAAACCTTTTTGTGGAAGTCAATTTGCTTGAAATTAAGGTCTGAGCACAAAATTGTATTTTGTGTTGCCTCATCTGGTGTTGTTGCTTTATTAATGACTGGAGGAAGAACAACCCA